CTTGAGGAATATGAACCTTTCCACATCTTTACGGATCCACCCTCAATTCTATATCTCAACCATCAACAGCAAAAACGTCTGATGTGGGTAGAGGACATACACAAATATTGTGATGGAACTTTAAAAGTAATTTAACAAAAGCTACTGTCTATCAAAGAAGATATTCCCTTGTAATAACCCTTCTGAATAGGCTTCATTTATCTCTTCTATCAACCCTTCTCCCTTCTCTAAAGGTATAATTTGTATCTGATAAAGTTAGGATTTACATTTGTGCCTTGGAGAGTATGTTTCTTCACAGTGGAAGCAAAGATTCCTCCTCCTTCTTTCTTCCACATCTACCGGTAAAGGGGCCTTCTTTTGGAATTAAATTGGTTAGATAAATGGTCTTCATTCCATTATAGGGTGGATAAATGGGAGTTTTTAGGAGCGGTTTCTCTGGATTGAGTTTATATGTACGCTTCACAGGCATGATGCTATTTTCCAATAATATGGCATATTCCATAGCATTATATAAAGAATTTGGTTTGAAAGCCCTTACAAAAGATTTGATGCTCACCTTCAGCCCCCCCCCCCCCCCCCCCCCCCAATAAAACTGTCCAGGAAATAAGAATCTGGCAGTTGACTATTTCTTTGGAGCATCAAACTCTTAAGGTGTTCAAATGAGTCCAAAAAATCCTCAAGAGAACCAGTTTGTTGCAACTTGTTAAATTCTTCCACCACATTACCCCCTATTTCTTCATTAAATCTAGCAGACAATTAAATCAATTATGAATTGTTCCCATAAAACCGATTTATGCACTGCAATGTAGCTGTTTAACCAAGATTCTGCCCTCCCATTCAAATATAGAGATGCTAAGTCAACCTTCTGACTATTATCAATTTTGCACAATTCAAAATACTTAACACATTTTTGAATCCAAATTCTAGGATTACTTCCATCAAAGCAGAGAAATTCAACCTTAGGTGTAAAACCTAAAGTTCTAACCTGATTATGCTCATGAATGGGAGTGTTGTGCAGAGAATGATTTGTGACACTGCACCCGAACGTCTTTGAAATTCAAACTAAATTTCAAAGCTTATGTATTGAATTTCCCTATTATCGAACAATTGTAAAACGATTAAAGTTTTACGTAAAGTGTGATTAATCATATTACTGTTTGGGCTCGTATAATAGTAATGGACTTCCAAATAATTAATTGGGCCATCTTATTGATATTGGGGCCCAACATTATTAAATAAAGATATATAACCCATCGGTACAAAGTAAGAGCGATCGGGCAGCCCAAATGTTATTTTGGGCCTAACCTGCTAAAAATAGCAATTATCCAAGAATGACATCCTAGACTCACTAAAGGGTGACCCACATGGTTAGTAGCACAGATATATGAATATTAATATCATAAATAAGTGATAGAATGATTGGAGAAGAATACGAATGCCTATGGTCCCATCTTTGGCATTATTCAGCTAAATAATGGGAGCAGGGTTTTCTTTTATAATTATACATCATATAAATTATTGGGATCATCCTATACATATTAGAGATCAATAATATGATGTATAAGGTGTACTTGATCTAACTAAATGAGGATGAGTACAAAAAGTACATCTTATGACAAAAGAATAAAACAATAGGACCCATCTTTCCACTTTTGGAAGTATTGGTAGATATTTTGCTCCCAAATTAATTAGGGGCATAAGAGTGCGCCCCAAACCTTCCTAGAACCTGAAAAACAGGTAGAATAAGTTAGAACACATAAATGGGGCGGACCTATTGAGTTGAGAGCTCAAACAATACAAAAAAAAGAGGAGGATCATCCCATGTTTGGTTGCAATCAAACACCCTACCTTTTCTTTTTGTGAACCACATGTTTAGATAGATAACATTTTGATAGCTACTAAACACCTACTCCTCACACCCCATTCAAACTCAAAATATAAGAAAGAAGGGAGAGCCTCACAATCCAAAAGAGAGAGATAAGGGAGCTGCCACAGGGAGAGTTCCAGTGCGAATGTCTTCTTGATCGACTCATATCTTGAGTTTTACTCATCCAATAAAGGCGTGTGAGGTGTCAACTGAAATCGCTCGAGAAGAGGAATCTATAGACGTGCGGTTTGAAGAAAAAGAATCAGTTTAAGGCCTCCAAATCGTCGTAACAAAACGCAACCTCGCAGAATAAGTCTTTGGTATTCAAAGTAAGTTTGAATCCAAAACCTTCCTCTCTATTGCTTAAATCATATAAATGATTGAATAAATATTATACACTGGTTGAAGTGTATAAAATGTTATTACAAGGTAACTTTAATTGTTTGAAAGGTTTGATACTAACCTTGACAAAACCTTGAAAGGTTAGGCAACGAATTCGCAAGAAAACACCCGTTCTAGGGACCGTTTTCGTGTCTTCGGTTAGGAGTTGAGCTAGCACCTTGAGGAGGCTGTTTAACACTCATATATAATCAAGGAATCAATTCTCAAACCCCCTTGGCCGAAGCTTGAGCATTGGGTTGAGAAGGAACAATTTAAAGCTCGTTTGGGGTGAGGATCGACATCTAGTTGCTTACAACTTGTAGGTTAAGCATGAGATTACCTAAATGTCTAAATCATGCTTTTCATGGATTGTGATTGATAAATTATGGATGAAATATTGATATAGTTGCCAAAGAATGAAATGGGAAATGATTTGGAAACGTATTGACAAAAAATGGAGTTAAATGAACTATTGTGTGAAATAGGCATTTTTACCCATGTGTGAATTCTGTAGATACATAAATGATCATTTATGTATTACATTGGATGATTAAGTTGCTGCTACATATCTCTAAATATGTAGGGATTTACAAATGGAATATATGATGGATAAGAATAATCTTAATAGTATTGAAATACTAGTTAATGATTGTTGTACTTGTTAAGGAATTGAATCTAACGATTTGATTGTAATTGATGTACTTGATTGTGATGCAAGTGACTAAATTGATGTAATATGATGTAAGATCATGATTAGGCAGTCCGTAAGGATGTCCCAAAATAGATTATTGATATTACAATTCTAGGCATAGCGAGTGCTTAGGAATTGGGGTCTATGCCAATGTAAGGAGATGTACTTGAGCCCGTGCTCTAGAATTGCATTAGGTAGACATAAGGTTTAAGTTCAGCCCATGTAAGGAGATGCACTTGAGTCCAAGCTCTAGAATTGCATGGGTGAACATGACGTCAGAGATTGGTGGAGTAATTAACTTGTGATTGATGTGCATGGTGATGTAGTTGAGTTGGACTCAAGAAATGCATGGTGGAGTAATTAACTTGTGTCATATAAGGTGCATAGTGATGTAGTTGAGTTGGAATCAAGAAATGCGAACATATGTGTTAGGGTTGGACCCTATGTATTGTCATGACTAGGGGTCACGGGGTTTGGGTTATGTTTTGTAAACAAACCTTGGGTCTACGGGCCGACTACTTGACTTTATATATATAGTGAGTATATTTTGAAAAGAGGTAACTTGGGGTTACGGCCTAGCTTATATTATGACCCTATTTGAGGGTCTTGTGTTTGAAATACTTGTTGTATATCTATTAGATGCCATCCACACCAGTACTTTATAGCCGTATAGAGTACTGACCCCCTTTCGGGGGGCGTCCCACCACCATTTCAGGTTGAGGCTAGAGTTTGCTACCTGTGCTCGTTGATCGGGTTATCATCTTGGAGAGAAGACTTGGTTCGTGCTTCCTCCATTCTGTTTTGAACATTTATAAAACATGTTCATGGATATTTTCACTATAGAGCCTGCGTGCTCATGCTTGCCCCGTGTGACATTTGTTTTTATACTACGTTTTCCGCTGCGTATTGAATTACTTATTATGTATGTTTATGGATGACTTATGTGTGAATGATATTCAAGACGCCTTGTATAATATAGATGTGTTAGACTGTGGTTGACTATTTGTATTGTACGGCGGGTTGTTGACGTGGCCGGATAGGTCCGGGGCGTGACATGATTGGTGTCTTCACTGGTTTTCTTCTGCAACAACCCTAACAGAGCATCCAACTTTTGGGAAGTGTCTAAGAATTTCTTCTCACTTTCCAAGGATTGCTCCAGCAACCGTTGCTCCAAGAGAGTCATCCTTTCTTCCATTTTGGCCAATAGACTCGCTATAGTCACCTTCTTGGCCAAGATGTACGGATGAAGCTTCATTGCAGATCAAACGACAGGAATTTGTCCTCGGAATCGGTGCTCTGATACCAACTGTTAGAATTTAGGAATATATTTCAAAAATTCCAGCAACTAACGTAGGAATTTCTAAAATAGAAAGAAATTCAAACAGATAGTAGTAAGATGAGAATGCTCAGAATTAGAGAAGGGAGGAAGAAGAACTTTATTCATTATTCTCATGATGCTTCATTACAGTTCGATTACACTATATATAGTAGAAGAGGAAGGCTATCACTAACTAACTACTTCAACCAACTCCAACAGTTTAACGGAAATCCAGTAGCTTCAGCTCTTCCTGATTCTTCCACGCCAATCTTCCCTTAGTTAGCATTTGATGTGGCCTGTTATTATCTGACGTGGCTTATGATGCATAACCGACCGTTCTGTCTACCACATGCAGGTTCGTGTGGTGTCAATGTGATATTTTTCTTTGGATATTGCTTTAGGAGATGGAGAACTTCCAAAGGTTGGTAATATTAAAAAATGCATTGTTACTAATGTAGTTACTCTTAGATGTAGTGTTGTGGTTAGTACATCATAAACGCCTAACAATTGCAAGATTCAACCTGTGGATCTGAAAAGCTGATTTTCATTGGTGAACATAGTTTTTTCAATGTGATAACTTTATCTTACAATATTCTTCTAATACTTTGGAGTTTCCTCGATTCTGGTTTGGACTAATTATCATGTTCAATCACATAAATCTATTAGCAAGAACATAATTTGATAGTAAAAGAAGAGAAAGATTAACTATTTTAATCAAAATCAATTGCAAAGTTTGTAGAGTGAGCAATGAATTCCATAGTTCATAAATGATACATGATACACATAAATTGGTTAGTTGGCAATTACACTGTACTAAGCTAATACATATTACCCAAAACTTGATTGTCGGCCTCCGGCCAATTCTTATGAAATTCTATGCTAGTATTATATAATCACGTCGTGAAAGGCCTCATGCAATCAAGTGATATACAATCATCATACAACCAACATCCAAGCTTTAGTTCCAAAAGAGTTTGGAGTCGGCTAACCATCATAATTATACAATTACAATGATGATTATATTGTCTTTGAAATGATTTCAATTATGATGATCAGTATTGTTGTTATGTGAGCAATACAGAGCAGGTTGATCTTGCTATGTCAGGTCACACTTCAACTATAAAATTATAATCCCTTTAACAGCTTCCTGGAACGCAGGCATGTCCCATTCATCTACCTGAAAAAGAAAGGAAGGAAATTCAAAAGATAAAAAATGTGAGTTTTTTGTTTCATCTCATAGTTGAGTTGGCTGGAGATCAAAACTTCTCCTAAGATGTCTATTTCTATGATGCACATCATTATCAGAAAACAAATCATACAAATATGTCTCATATGAAACCACTATGACATTTTTTTAATATAAAATACGGAGTATACTTAAAGTAAAAAGGATGAATAGTTTAAATACTCCAAACTTTGAAGAGTGTGAGGTAGGTACCCCAAACTTGTATATTTAATATATATATCCTGAACTTTTTATAAAAAGTTATCTTATCACCATGACCATATATATTTATTCACAAATTAAACTTATAGTATTACATACATAACATAAAGTACTTTTAATATTCATGAGGATACAATTAAAATTCTAAACTTCTATTGTGAATAAATAATATTACTCTGATCTACTTGAAGTACATAATTGCTATCGCATGAATTTCATTGCTAATATATCATTGTATTAAACAATTTTCTTATATACAAATTTCCTGGATTAAAATTTCAAAATATGTTTTTTGTATTATGTAATTTTACTAATAGTCGATCTTAATATTTAAAGTTGTGTATTGACAAATATCAAATTAAAAGTGTTGCAATTGTATATATAGATTGAGGCAATATTAGTTATTTCACACATAAAAGCTATGAATGTTAAATGCACTCTCATAAATGCTAAGTGTATTTAAATTATTTACTTTAAACCATAAATTTACATTTGTGAAAGATAGATCATGTGGTCTTGTCCCTAATATAACTTTCGTGATGTATATTATATATACATGTTTGGGTGTTTACCTCTCACCCTTCAAAACTTAGGGTATTTAAATTATTTTTCTCAAGTACAAATTGTGTATAAATATTATTAGAATTACCAGAAGCACAACATCATTATAATTTAAAATTGATTATGACCATACCATAGTCATTAAGAAATAATAATATACTCATCATTGTGAATAAGTGATTATATTTTCAGCTACTATCTTTATTTTAGCTATATATAGGTCGCTATTTCATAAAAAAAAATTAGCCATATTTAGTTGTTCGGCTAATGTTTTTTGAGGAGATAAAATGTAAAAAAAAAAACTTGCGATTATTACAAACGTAATTATGTAGCAATAAAAATTGCTTTTTGGAAATCATCAATGTAGATGCTCTAAGGATGTTTTTATTTACTCCCTTCAAAAAGGTTGTTTTTAATTACTATTATAATCATTTATTTGAAGTTTTCTTTTATTCACTTTCTTATTTTGATCATATACTATGTATTTTCATTAGCTCTTATAATGGAGGTTGTGGGTTCAAAACTCCACTCATGTAGTTTCAGTCTTCTTTACCCCAGGTCCCCTCTGCCCCTTGCCCAGACCCTGGGGTAAAAAATATCACCGGATTTATATGCCATACATTCAAATTCGGAATAATAAACCAAATGTATGGCCTCAGTGCATGGTTTAATTTTTGCTTAGGAATATTCGATAGGAAGAAAATGATGGAATAAGGTAAGTATATATAATGAGATTAATTGGATAGAAAAATTTCGAACCCATAACCTCCAATCTTTCCCTAGACACGACTAGGCCGTCCGTTAATAGGTTATCCAAAATCTCCTTTAACTAATTAAAAATAATTTTCTTTTCAACTATATATTAATCCTAACTTGTACGCTAAATGTAGAGTATAATATAATTATGGGAAAATGGAAACTAATAATCTAACTTTTTAGCGATCTTCTTACAATAGTCCCGCCTTTTGATTATTCAGGAATAATCCAACCTTTGCACCCCATCTTCATTCAATGGTCCCTGACCGGTTGATGACCCGCTATTCCAAGTTATTTTCTTATCTTTGCAATATATTATACCATAAATCTCACCTTATGGTCACATAATGTTTTGCAAAGATAAGAAAATAACTTCGAATAGCAGGTCATCAACCGGTCAGGGACCACTGAATGAAGATGGGGTGCAAAAGTTGGATTATTCCTGAATAATCAAAAGGTGGGACTATTGTAAGAAGAACGCTAAAAGGTTGGATTATTAGTTTCCATTTTCCCTATAAATATTACTATGTAGGATATTAAAAATACCTCGATCTTGAGTTTTAAAACGACGTGATTTAGTGTGGTTGATTGAATTACTGTGGTGTTAGCTTGTAGAGAGATGAATCCGACATTGTCAACCCCATTCAAGAACTCAAGCAAACGGATAATCATATCGGACATGCCACAACTACTTTCTCCCCTCACTAAAACTTGCAAGTCTACCAATCTCACAGCTGCTTCTTCTGGCATTGATCCGTCAACGGCTGTGATGTTCACATCTATAGCTTCACCGCTTGAGGAGGCAGTCGTGGTGACGGTGGCCTCTTTCTGCGACGTCGACAATGATGATGATAGTTGTGTTTCCATCATTTGGTTCTTTTTAGTGAGCTCTTCTACTTGTGCTTTCAATGTTGATATGTATTCGGTAGTGTTGGTAAGCACTGATGCCTTGTCTCTCTACATGAATGAGAGTATAGATTCAATCATCAAGATGATCACCCATGTCCACAATCAAGATTTAAGAAGGTTGATGCTTGTATCTGAATGATGTACTTGGATACAATGCATAAATGGTACATTAACTATTGATAATGTTATATTTTAATACCTTAACTCTTAAATGAAACATACATACCTTAATCCCGACAGGAAGGAGAGACCTCAAATGTCGCAAGCTTTCGTTGATCTTTTCGCGCCTTCTTCTTTCAGCAATCACATGTGAAGATGAATATGTTGTCGCACTGTTGCTAACTTGATGATGATGATGACTAATTCTCCTTTGCACATTATTATTCAAGTTTCTAAAAAATGTCACACATCTTTTGAACATTGGGATGGCATTATTATTTATCCTTGTGGTGATGTGATAACTCTCGAAAGCGGTTTTCCTTTGGAAATTTGGTGCAGAAAAGCTTTCGGGAGATTGATCAAGAGGATAATGAAATGGAGAAGATGATAATGGTGGTTGTGGGGGCAGAGAAGAAGAGATGACAGCTAGATATGCCTTAGTCATTATTGATGGGAGGTCATTTGTGAGAAGAGAAGTGTACTCTTGTTGGCTTTCCATAGAGAAATCTGATATTGGGGATGTTGAAGATGGTGATGCTGAGCTAGGTTTGCTTTTGGGAATTAAATGCTGATAAGGAGAGAACATCAACCTCCTCATCTCCATCTCCATGTTAACCTATCATCCAAAGAAAATTCAAATGCTTCCTAATTAACATCAATTTAAACCTGATCAAGTTTTTATATTCTTAAATCTAATTAAAGTCAAAAAACTTTTTTGCCTTTCTTTTAAAGCAACAACTTTGTATTTGATTTACTTCTCTTACACGAATGTCGGGATTATTGGTCAAATTTTATGGGACGAAGTGAATAAGTTGTATTTGCGTTACTTATTATATGATTTTTTTTTCTACTAGTTTCATCCATTTTTAGTTAATCATCTTTGACTTTTCTAATTAGTGATGGTAAATTTTGGTCAATAACTTTAGCATGTACTCCATCTTTTAATTAAAATTATAAATTGCATACTGATGGATAGTGTACCCGGGGGTAGCTTATCCGAGGGGTTATTACGGGGAATAACAAGAGAGAAGGCAGAGCAAATGAGTATAGAGAGAGAAAGTATATTAGAAAGTATTCAGTGTTTTTAGCGTTTTTTGCCCTTGGTCACAAATGGGGAAATGGGGTGCTATTTATAGTAGCAATAAATGCCGGACAGGGACACGTGTCAAGCGTCCATTGGCCGAGAGGTCACCTCAACTGGTTGGCGCTGGAAACCGCATGTGGCCGCATTTAATGCGGCTGTTGGATGGGATGTTGTACTGGGTACGGTGATCCATACGCATGTGGAGCGGATATTATGTCGGAAAAGGTGCCCTCGGTTGTAGATGACTAGCCGAGGGCGCTGAGTACCGGGGACCCCCTTAGTGCCGAGGGCTCTGAGTGCTGGGGACCCCTTAGTGCCGAGGGCTCCAGTTGCCGAGGGCTACTGATTTTCGTCGTTCTTCCCAGTAACTTCGTTTTCCTGTTTTGGCTCTTCTGTGTTGGTTCAGAGCCTTCGGACAGGGGGGCGAAGGCACCCCTGGTGCGCATTTGTGGGCTACTTGGTACTCTGGGCGCCGTGATTTGGGCTTGTTGTGCTTCCTGGGCCTATTGGGCCTTTATTGGAGTAGTAGGAGTCTGTGGGCCGGGGGTTCCCGGGCCATATACTCCATCAGGAGTCCATCACTCCTTTTGTCGAAAGGTTTTTTTTTAATCCCGGAAGGTAAACCACTAAAAGTGGGGTAAATGCCGGGGAACACTTACCAAATTTAATAGATAGAATAAATAAAGCGCTAGAGGAAAATAAATAAATAAATGGAAAGCAAGCCAAACTAGGCTAAAGATTATGACTTTAAGCGCGTTTGCGACCTAGTCTGCATAGAAGAAACTTGCGAGACAGCTTTTTTCTTATTACGCCGGGAGACAACTGGAGTAAAATCGTCTTCAATGGCCTCCAAGTTTGCAAACTCAGCAACCAAAGTCGTGGAGTTTTCAGACTTGTGAAGAGGTTCTGTTCGTGCACGTTGTCTGAACATAAGCTGAGTTTGAGTCAAATAATTTGGGTCACCCAAACGATCAAGCAGCTTGAGATCTGAATCATCCACAAATTTGTGAATCCCATCATGAGTTGGAAATTGTACTTGAAGGGGAGGAGAGTCAGAAATATTCCCATTGCAAATAGCATGATCAGATTCTAGCTTCTCAAGAAAAGAATCTTGCACATTATCTTGCTCATTAGAGAAGACACATATTCCCTTTAAAGATTCATGCGATAAACAAATCTCCCTAACGGGGCCATCAAAATCACATATAATGCTAGAATAGTGCAAATCCGATTTAAAAAGCAAAGATGATATGGATTCAGATTCCGGGGAGGAGGACCCTAAGTCCGAGCAAAGCGCCTCAAAATCTTCAAATTGCCCTTTCTCCTTCCTTTTGAGAGAAACATCCAACAAAGCCTCACATCTTAACAAGGAAGAGAAAAAGTGTTTGAAGCCAAAACCCTTACACCCTTCAGGAATAATGAGAGTAGTTCGCCCCAAGGATCCAGAATCAGTCAAACGAAGAAAGCTGCCAAAAAGATTATGGTCCAAGAACAATTGAAATTTATGACCCTTCTCATACCTTGTAAATGACCAAGAAACCCCGAATTCAATAAGAGAAAAAGAATTGCAAAGCCAAATCAAAACATCTTTACTAAAAGAAATAGACCGAGAAGAAAAACCCTTGAATTGATGAATCCTCAAAGAAGAACAACCAACTTAAACTCAAATATTTTACTTTCAATTGAAATAGAGAAATCCTCACGATACTGATGAGATTCACCAAGTCGAGGATGAACATCCCTGTCTCTGGAAGGAAGCCGAGAGAAGTCCCCCATATCTGAAGATCCGTGAATGCCGTCCCTGTTTCCCCTTCTATTGATCCGGCTCCCCCCTCCCAAAGAATGCCCCTCGCCGTCCTGTTCTAAGTGAAATTCGCTGCTATGGAAACCCCTCTGTGACTTAACTGACCATCGTGACCCTGCAGTCACTGAGAATCCCGTTGCATTCTTCCAATCACGTTCAAGCATTGCGTTCTTCCCTAAATATCGTCGCCATGAGCTTCTGTCGCGTCCTGAATGCCATCTAGCCTGATCGTTATCACGAACATTGGGGTAAAAAGCCCGAGCCCTGTTATAAAACCTGGAATCAAAGCCTCGTGTCCCTGTGCGAAGATCCCTGCGCAATGACTTAGTAAAACCCAAATCGTAGCGAGATCCCCTCACACCGACTCTTTTACGATGAAATGGACGAGAAGACACATCGACCCTCGATTGGTTTGTCGATACATTATTACTGAAACCTAGGTCATCGGAATATCCCGTATTTCCCCACCGCCTGGTCATCGGAACCCTAGGTCATCCCGCTCAATCACAAGTGCATTATTACACATTTTGTCGAAAGGTACTTGAGGGAAAAGGAGTAATTGTGTTTGTCCTCTGTCGTTGTTCCGTTGTGGGTAGTTTGCTGTTCGTTTATTCTGCTGAGGGCAGTCCCTCAGTTACCCACATGTCGGGACTTGAGGGGCATGTTTGTGATTTTTGTGATTTTCCCGAGGGGGTCCTCCAGTCCCCCACTCCTTGAGGTACTTGCAAAGTGGTGAAAAGGAGTAGAGCAGTCATGTTGTTGTTTTGGGCCGAGGGCTGACGCTTTTCGTTTCATTTTGGGGGGATGCCTCGTTAAAAACCTCATTAGTGTTGGGAATATTTTATGGTGTTCAATCTAGTTAGTTATCTTTGTATTTGTGTAGTTATTAATTAAACGTGTAATACGGGCCACAAATGTGTATCAGCCCGTGGGCTTCCTTGTAACCCGTAAGTTAGCCAACTTCTCCTATAAAAGGAGGCTAACTTACGGGAACCTAAACTGATCGAGAGAGGCTTAGAAACGCAGAGGCGAGATAGAGAGAAAGATTAGGGTTGCCGCTGCTCTCCTTCTCCAGGGAGAGCATCAGACAGTTCATACGGTATACCAGATTTGGGTATTAATCTTGTCGATTTCTTCCTATCTGCTTCTTTATCACTACTATGTTGTATGATTGTTAGAATTATGGGACTAGCAAACCCTGTGGCAAAAAATCCTAATGAGGGAAAAAGAGTGCACCGAATTCCCCCAACGATGAATCGAAAACGTGAATCCCTGGTTCGAAATGGAGTATAATGCTGATGCCGAAGGCTATCCTTGTTCTGAGGGTGCATGCATTGATTAGCCGGAGGCGTGCCGTTGATATCCTGGGAGATGCCGAAGGGGAGTCCCTCAATCTGGGGATCGAGGGCATGATGATTGTGAGTAGTAGTTGAAGTGTTACCGGGGTGTCCCCTGTTTGTTGATTAGTTGGTGAGGAGTGTGTCCGAGGGCTCCCATTACCTACGTGCCGTAGGCTATCTGTCAATGAGGCGTACTCCTCGGGGGCTACCCGGCCCTCAAAGTACTGAGGGGGATCCCCGAGGGGTGTGACTGTTATGAAACCGTGGGCTTCTGAAGGGGTGAGCCCGAAGGCACCTGTTATTTGGTGTGAGGGGCATAATCCGGGAGCGTCTCTGGGTAAGTGTACCCGGGGGCTCTTCTTGATGAAGCGGAGTGAAGAAAAAAGCCTGGGGGCCAGTTTCGTGGTTGATGAAGGAGTGATCTGTCAAGTGTAGCCGGGAGCTCCCAGAATATAGTCGCCGGAAATATAGCCGTTGGAATATCTAACGTCAGAATATAGCCATTGGGGGGGTTGCCACGTGGTGTGTGCTCGTTGGCTGCCCGTGGGCGGGTGTCACCGATTGGGCGAAACCACGGTTTGTAATGATGGCAGTTCAACTGGAGGCCCGGTTTCCAGCCCCAAGCCCGGATCCAAGCACCTATAAATACCCCATGGTCGGCTTCACTTCCCTTGTGCGATATCATTGTAGCGAAGCTCTGCCCAAATTCCTAGAGAGAGAAACAACTGCCCTCGGTCTAACTCCCCTTTCAAGGTCAGTTCCTCCTTGTCCTCCACCTCTTGTCACCTAGCTGTGCTTAGCGGCCTTAGGACTTACACTTAGGAATTTTAGCTTAGAGCACTTAGCATACTTGAGCCCTCGAACTAGCACAGACGATGTCTTCACAAAGCGACTCTCAAGACATCTCGGGGGCGCCCTCGATGGAGGAGGAAATCATCTCGGACGTGGAGTCCACAAGCGAACAGCCCTCGGTGGGACAAGATGTTTTCGTCGCAATGGAGCTGCAGAAAGCCCTCGTTGCCGAGGCGGAAGCCGAGGGCTTCGAACAAGAATGCGAAGACGAAGAGCTAGCCCTTGCCTGGCAAGCAGTTGAGGAAGAGGCGCAGAAAGAGGGCGCGAGGGTCACCGTAGCTGTTCTCCCCCCTCGGGGCACTGGTGAGGCCAGCACCTCTCGACCGTTGAACGCGGTTCCTATCTGGGTGGCCCCCGGGAAAAAGAAGGCGAAGGTTGCTGCTTCCAAGAACAAAGGCAGCGTCGCATACCAAGGGAAGCCCCTCGATATGCCCGAGGGGTATTCCTACTTGAATACCGCCGCCTTAGAGATAAAGTCGAAAGCTGACAGGGAAGATCTCTATGTCACCCAACTACATGTGGGCCCCTCGGCCGTT